TTTTAGTCTTTAGCTGATAATGATTAATGACAATTCATAGATTACACTTGCATGTTTTTCCACTCTAAATCAGTTACCCAGTGTTCTGAAACTTAACTTACAAATCATCAGTCATTAAAATTAAATTCAAAATTAGCCTAAGCTCTGTGCCACAATGACTTAAGTCACTTTTCACCAAGTGCCAAATATTAATCATTGACGGTTATTCTGACTGTTCATTACACACAATACAATATTTCTCAACCCCAGCTTGTACMTGGAAATATAGAGCATTAGTGTTAGCTTAGCATTAGCTCTGTATTAGCTTTAGCGCTGCACCACAATGACTTCTACAAGTCACTAATCACAGTAACTGCAAAGTTCCAGATAATGTGAGACAGTTTTTTGATGAATTATTGTACATGATTTGATTTTTCCCAACCCTAGTGTTGTGTTGGTGAGTTGTATGAAGATGTGCCGAGAAATAAATTTGGACAACTGMGGATAAAATTTAGGTGGTTGAGGTTTTACTCAGGTTTTACAGACTAAAACAACATGACAATAATAATTAAGGGGRAAAGCATTTATCTACTTAGAAGTGATAGCCGGGGTGTAAATTTTCACAGAACACTGCTTGGGTTCACTGCCCACGGCACTCCCCTACAGGTTGCCGGCAGTGACACATTAGAATGTGGCCTTGTCAGTAAATATTGAAAATTGGCATTTCCTCTGGGTGATGCGTCCAGAAAGGTCAGTGCTGGCTGGCGGCTGCTCAGGGACTCTGCGTGTCTCCGCTCCGTTGTAATAGAATTCAGTGGAACTGCCTGGCATTTCCAGTGATGAGACCTGACCGTCCTGTTCATCATTTATTTCCTGGATTGTTACTTTATGCAGAGCAGAAACAGGAAGCTTTCCCAGCAACTTTTAGATTTTATGTTTTTGTTTGCATTGTGTTCCGAGTCACCTCTGCAAACGACACGGCGCTGGGAAATGCGAAACCAGAGCTGTAGAGTCACAAAGTGAAGACCCTTGTGGGTATTAATTCATGGTGGGCATCGTTGTAAAAATATATTTTAGCAAATCTACTGGACTGCTTAAGTTATGACCTGACTTTTTTCTTTGTCACTTTTATTTTTAAAACACATGCAGCATGTAGGTAAGAGCTATACAAAACCATTGACATTTCTGTCTGCACCGCTTTCTCCTGTTTTTAAAAGCTGGTGACTCACCTTCTCTGTTGGTTTGCCTTGGAAAAGAAGTGCTGAAGACTCCACCTCCTCCTGTTCTCTCTCTGTGTGACTGGCCACACAAACACTCAAGCCTGAAGGACGTGTTTCACTTTCCCTCAGACAGGATGAAAAATACATTGTTGTCTAATGTTAATGTTAGTTTATTTTTGCACCCAAACACAGTTTGGAGCATAAATAGGCTACATTTCAGGATATACAGCAAATTTACCCAACCTRTATGGTTTTTTTGTCATTTGCCCCTCAGTTATTCATAGTTGAAGATTGTTTTTAAATTGCTAAATGAGTTTGGATACCAGACTGAAGGTAGTTGATGAGAAACTTGAAACGGTCATTCTACTTTGTCCACCACCTTGTTTGTTTGTTAATCACATGCATCTTTGCTTCACCAAAACAACTCAAGGTGTTTTTCTCTCCCCTCTATGTGGGACTTAAGTATTCACATGTCACTGTCGGAGCAGCCTTGCAGAGTTTCCTGAGCGCTGAGGGAAGCCAGCAGCTGAGCCGACTATGAGCACAAGTGATGCTTTCACGGCGCCCTGCTCTCAGCCGTCTGAATACTTCCCCAAGCCTTCATTAGCATGGCTGCTGCATTCAGCCTCATCCCAGGTCTTTGCATTTGCATGTGTGCCTGCGCACAGGCACGCCGTCGTGTGCTCGCTGTCTCAGTCTGACTTAACTGCCCCTCCCAACTTCAGCTGAATCCTCTTGTTCTCTTTTTCCCAGTTGGATTTCTCCCTTCACTCCTCCACACCGTTTTCCCCTCTGGCTGACTCTTCATCCTCGGCTTTTTTCTCCTGRTTTTGCTCTTGTTCGTTCGTTGTTCTTTTTAACCTTGCTGCCTCTTCCATTTCCACCAGTTGAGCAGCCATGTTTAGTTGTTGATTACCCTAACACCCACCTTCAGCTTACTTTCCCCTCACCTTCTCTCACATACTTCTCTTTAATAAAATGTTGACTCTTGCATCTCTTTCCTCCCCTTCTAGCCTGCTTTTTTTTATTCCAGAATTGGATTTTTGTGATTTAAGGAAACTAAAATTGTCAAGTGATGTTTGTACAAAGATCAAAAACTGACATTACAGAGTTGAGTTATCTTTGCATGTCTTTTCTCTCTGTAAGCTGTGCATAAAAAAGCACAGTTGTGCTGGTTTGTAAATGCATGCATGACTGTATATCTGGGAGAGAGTGCACTATATTCAGTGGAGCACTCTGTTCTCCCACCAGGGATACTGATGTGCTCAGCAGGATTAGATGCATCATAAGTCGTAGTCCGTTTGAAGTGTCCAAAAATCATGATCCCTCTGATGTTTCCTTTTCTTCCCTCTGCATAGAATAAGATGTTACCTGTTGTTAGGTTACTGCACTCCAGCAGTTGGAAAGACACTATTGTCGAGTGAAAAAACTACAATCTTGACTCCAAATCCTTTTTATACATAGTAAAAAAAAAAGGCTTTTTTTCATTTTTTTTATTGATATGAAGACATAAGTGTAGCACTTGGTTGTGCTGCTTTCCTGAAAATAATCCATTCACCTTTTTTTCAGTTTCCTAAAAAAAACGAGCTCTTTGAGTGTTGTCTATCGGCTTTTTTTTATTCACGCCATCGATTTGTCCGTATATGGTGCGTTTAGTAGGTGATGTGTGAAGCTGGCAACCTCTGCTCTGCAACAAAGTCATTCTGTTAATCATTGCTGATAAACTATTTGTGACTCAGGTCATTCTGATCTGATTCAAAGCGTCTGGGCCCCCATCAAAGTGTTTACATCCTTCACTTGATGAGCAGCTAAGAAGAGTACTGTGGCCTAATTACTGTGCTGGCAGGGGGCTTGTTTAGTTAACCAGGAAAGGGATTGGAAACGGTGGAGACCAAGTCTAATTACGATGAGATAAAATGAGTCAAAGACATTGCCAATGCTAAATGAGATGCATTTGTGGAGCTCTTCACATGCTGCCACTTTAAAGTGGATTTTATGATAATTTCTTTTTGAAGTTGATGGAGGTTTTTTGGCTCCAATTTAGTGACTTATGTACCTATACGCCTGTTGACAATAATGTCCTCTTTGAAGAAGAAATGACTTTTAGTTGAACCCATCGAGCCAATATTCTTCTGCCAGACATTTTTAAGATCAGATTTCAATTTATTCATAAGTTGTTGTTTTTTCCACACGAGATTACTCTAGAACATCACAAAGGAGACTCATAATTCTGCTGTTGCTCGCCAGCTAAATGGAAATGGCACAGCATTGTCTCAGTGTGGACTTGTAAATAGCATAYCGCCGTTGTTCGAGCAGAGACGTGGGCATCATCGTCTGTGTTGGCGCTCTCTCACTCACAGATGTCAGCTGAGCTCGGTGACTTTCTCCTCTGCCAGTTCAGAGGGGCTAACACTTCCCTTCGTTCTCTTCATTTCACAAAGAGGCTCAACATTTCCACAACACACTGTTCGAATCAATCAATCAAAAAAAGCTGGTTTGCTTCTCAAACGACGTCAGTTCAGTCATACTTTTACATCACGTTGTTCAAACTGTTTGGATGGAGATTTGAAACTTTGCCTCTAATTTTTTTAAAATACGGATCAATGTGATTTAAAGTTGTTTTCAGGGTTCTAACTTCCAACACAGTCTAAAAGTGTGGAGGTTTTTCTATTTTTTGAGTATTTTCTAGTATAACAAAAGAAAAAGATCAAGATATAGAAAAACACTGTTTCCAGCTGCTGTTTGCACTTTCTAAAAACTAAAAAGGTTATTCCACATTGATTTTGTAAAAACACAAATAAACACGGTCACTTTGATGTCCACTTTTTGATTGAGCATCGCTGAGGTTTCCATCTTCTGTGAAGTAAGCAGCACAGATCATTCTTTGTTGTGAGGTAGCAGTTTGTCGACAATGAAAATGCAACAACTAATTATTTTTGAAAGCAGTTTAAAAAAATTGGTAAATTGGAGGTTTTGATCAAAAGTATGCCAGCAGCAAAAAGGTGGCTTAAAGTAAAGAAAAAGGAAAAAAGTATATTCTAAATATACATAAATGATAATAAATTTCAATCAATAATAATTTTACATCTCTCTGTTCATGGTGGATTAAGTGTTTGGCTTTTTTTTTCCCCATTCAACAACCTAATATGTTTCTCTTTTGTTATATTTGGTAAATATGTCAAAGTTTAATGTGTGAGAAATTCACACTTTTCTGTTTATTCAGTCACTATTTWATACAGATGGCAAAATAAATGAAAATTATGTGCTTATTTTTTGTAATTCAGCATATTAAAAACATTATACCTTCATGTTGTTCAGTGACCCTCTTAATACAGGAGAAAACGTAGGTTTATAAGTAAATAACCACTTATCAATTAATTCTAATTATCGATCAATAAGATCAAACAACTTTAGATGAATTCATGAATCAGTAATTACCATCTCTACACGTTCTGTTACTCCAAGCATCAGAGTGTTAGCAGAACGTGTATTGTGTTACGTGACCACACTTTAACCTCGTGAGGATGAGACAGCAGGTTGTAGGCGTCTGTTTGTCCTTTTTGGCTCAGTCCAGAATGTGGGCGTCTACTTCACCTGCCACACTGCTACTATCTTATCAAGTGACGTGTGAGAACATTGTAGAAGTACAAAAATATTCTCAGTAATGACTGAATGTGACAAAAGCAACACGAATGAAACCACTGCACTACTTGAATTATGAATCATTTTCCCTGAGAGCATTGCGTACAAATACATTTTTTATTTTTCAGTTTTTAATCTATTTTTCTGTTTGTCCTGTAGTGTCCGGACTCTTCCTGTAAGCAGGACCTGCTGGCCTACCTGCAGCGTATCGCTCTGTATTGTCACCAGCTCAACATCTGCAGCAAAGTCAAAGCTGAGGTTCAGAACCTGGGAGGAGAGCTGGTCGTCTCTGGGGTAAGTCCAAACACTTTTTTACCAGCTGCACTTCTTACTTAGTCTGTTTTTCATTTAAGATCTTATGAGTATGTTTTTATTTTTAAAGATTTTAGAAGGACTGAATGAGTTTAAATGAGGCTGATGAACTGTGTGGTGCAGTTTCTAATGCAGCTGAGTACAAATAAGGAGAGCAGAAAGGCTGATGCAAACATTACAGGTTTCCAACAGAGATGGAACATCCAGTCTCTCTTAGAGAGTACACATAAAAACAGGTGATTTAGACACAACATTGTTCAAATTTTAAACAGAACACCATCAAATTCTGGCTCAAAATGAATAAATCCACAAAATGTTTTTGCAGCTTTTTCAAAGTTTTATGATTTATTCTTACCAAAATAAATCAAAACTACCAAACTTTATATTAGCTGTCAAAGGACTGAGTTTTAAACTAAAGACAACTAAATGAACATTTTATGTTTCCCAACCTTTAACTTTGGAACACAACCCTTTTTAAGAAATAATTAACTACTTACCTTCCAGTTTAAAATAATTGACTTATGTTACCTGAGTGTGCAGGAAATAATGATTTCAAGCTGAACGGAGAGTCTGCTTCCGACACTTCCCCTCAAGTGTCACCAGTGCCTCTGAAGCCATTAAAACCAGCTGATTAAATTAGTTTGACCTTTTTTAGTTATTCCAAAATTCATCACAGACGTTTGTATGCCAGACAAGGAAATGGTTGTTAATTTTCTGGTACACATGGTTGGGTTCTGGTTTGCCTCTGAAAGCCCAGAAGCCTAAAAACCTGTAGACATTCACCGGATGATTTTTGTTTACTTTGCACCTGATTTCCCCCAGCACAGGCTAATTAAAAACAGCAGGGCTTGTTGTTGTGATTTTTCTTTAATAAATATTTTTTCCTCCCCTCTTTAGTTGGACAGCGCCATGTCCCTGATTCAGGCTGCGAAGAATCTGATGAACGCCGTGGTGTCCACGGTGAAGGCCTCCTACGTTGCCTCAACCAAATACCAGAGATCAAAAGGCATGGAGGCCCTCAACATGCCGGCCATCTCCTGGAAGATGAAAGCTCCCGAGAAGAAGCCTCTGGTGAAGAGAGAGAAGCAGGATGACGGGCAGACCAACAGAGTCAAGAGATCCTCTCACAAGAARCACGTGAACCCCGTGCAGGCTCTGAGTGAATTCAAAGCCATGGACAGCATCTAGACGGACCCCCTGAGAGAACACGACTTCATAACCAATGAGTTCAGATTATTATTCAGTGAGAGAGAGGAGCTGTTATCTGTCTGTACCTCTGTTTGACCAGTTATATTCCTCCACTGCCTCATTCCTATCATTCAGATTAGCTTCAGTCTGTAGCATTAACTGTTGTGTAGACAAAGCAGCAACTATGAGGCTTTTTTCCTTTAATATATATCAGAGACTAATGGATTTAAGAGATGTTGGAAATAATGTTGTTTGATCATTTTTCTAACCAGTTTTAATGTAAGGCTAACGGGATCTATGGATTTATCTTCATTTTGTTTTTGACAAACATTATCTATACTGCGAATATCAACTATGCAACATTTCATTGGCCTTATGTTAATAACTAACTGGATCAGTCAATGGTACTGAAACAATACAAACCAGTTGGATTCTATTAGAAACACCTTCAAATTGATCATGTTTTTAATATTTACCAAATGTTTTCTGTTTTTTTAAGTAATTTCAAGTGATGTTTACTTGAAAGCTTTTTCTCTTTTGTTTTCCCCCACAACAGTAGCTTTAACACACACACACACACACACACACACACACACACACACNCACACACACACACACACACACACGTGTCACAGTTAAATTACAGTTAAAGTTTTCTGTCGGGAGACCACACAAGTGGTGTGTGCGTGCACTGTCCAAAGCTGACCGGCTTCATAATGAGACCAAACACCTCCACATTCAGTGTAAGGGATCTATGTTGTTGTTTTATTTTTTTCCAGTTTGTCATTTCAGGTTTGTTGCCTTTTAACTTGATGGTCTGTTTTTTGCTCCTTAGCTTCAACACTAATCAGGACTTTATATCAACTAGTGTCTTTGTAAAAAGACCGAGAAACAAATTACCTTTTGTTATGTATGTTTCTGTTCAAGTAAAACCTGTGGGATGACTGTTCTTTGCAACGTGTCACGCATGTAGCTTTAGAGTAGTGCATTACACTACAAAAAAAAAAAAAGGAAGACTTTGAAATCCTGCTGCTTTGGTCTTGGAGATAAAACTTTGTTTTGCTCAAAACATCTATAACTCTAGCAGGGGTGTGCACAGGCTTTTTTTTTTTTTTTTTTTGGACAGGATGTTTTTTTTTTTTTTTACTAGCACCAGAAAAGAGTATAATTCAATAAGTTGTTTGACCCCTCACATCATTTTGCTGTAATGTTTGGAGTTAATTCTCAAGTGATTTCAAATTTCTTTGCTGTGCATTTTCTTATTATTGAGAGCTGACTTAGTGCATTCATTTCTTATATTATTGTGCCTGATTTATATCTTTAAATAAAATAAACTCAGTCTATGATGTATTTTACCTTTTATTCCATTGCACTTCGTCTGACCCCTCTCCCCGAGACCTGTTTGCCATAGAACAGTGGTTCCCAAACTTTTTAGACTTGTGTACCCCTGAGCCGTTTTGTCATACCATTAGTATCCCTTCAGTCAAACGTAATGTTTCTCCAAAACTATAATGTACTAATTATTAAATTAAAATTATTTATTTAACCCCCCAGAATGTTTCATTCTCAGGCATTTTATTTTATTTTTTTCAACTCAAACGAAAAGATAAAAAGTGATGAAGCATTTAAAGTGAATAAGTAATTAAATAAATAAACCAGGTAATGGCAGGTGCAGAAAACGGCAGCATTCAAAATACATTGTATTGTCAAAAATATGTCAAACTCACCCAAATGAGTAAATTCTGAGAGATTCCACGTTTTATACTAGATTCCATTTTGTGTTAATTTCATGTTTCCACAATGCAGAAATCTTAGGGCCCTATATATATATATATATATCAGTCCTATTTTTATCTACTTTACACACCTGGGAAAGTTTTCCACGTACCCCCTGTAATATGMTYRTGTACCCCAAGGGGTACATGTACACCTGGTTGGAAATCATTGCCATAGAAGACTCTACCGGGGGGGGGGGGCTAATGCCCCCGGGATAACGGGTGTACTCAAACCCTTCCACCACGTTAAGGTGACGGTTCAGCAGAGAGGTGGAGTTTAATGAGTGTCTCTTTCACGAGTGATGATAGGATGGAGCGGGAGATGGATCGACTGATCGGGGCCTCATCCTCAGTAATGAGGACGTTGCTTCGGTCGGTTGTGCTGAAAAAGCATCTGTCGAAAGGCAAAGCTCTCGATTAACTGGTCTGTCAGCGTTCCAACCCTCACCTACGGTCATGAGGTGAAAGAACAAGATCCTGGATACAAGCGGTTGAAATGAGCTCCCTTCGTAGGGTGAGGAGCTCAGTCAGCCAGGGGGAGCTCAGAGGAGAGCCGCTGCTCCKCTGCATGGAAAGGACTACTTTGAGGTGGCTTGGGCATCAGATTAGAATGCCACCTGAACACCTCCCGTTAGAGGTGTTCTGAGCACGTCCAACTGGTTGGAGGCCTCGGAAAAGTAGAATTAGCTGGAGGAGTTGTATCCCTGACTACTTGGGGTCCCCCAGGACGAGCTGGAGAAAGAGATGCCTGGGTTTCTCTTCACTACGGGTGGGTATGTGGTAGAAAATTGAGATGGAGATCCCATGTGCTGTTTCAAAATCAAACTCATTTTACTGTAGCAACATATTCAGAAAATAAAAGCAAGTAAAAGTTGTACTCCACTTCCAAATACGCTGCATCCCATAATAACACATTAGAAATTCCCAACTCCACGCAGCCTCTGTTACTGACTCAAGGGCAGCATACAATATTCTGTTTTAACATGGAATGGGCTTTTTACTCGGGCATTGTGATTTATTTCCTCTTAAATAAAATGTGCAGCTTTTAACACTAAACGGAGCGTTTAAAGTCTTACGGTGAGGCTTCTTAAACTGCAGCTCATGAGGAAGTCTCTGCGAGACTCGAGACAGCAGCACCATGAGATCTGGAACAAAGCATCTCTTCTCTGAAGTGCAGCAGTAATCAACACATTAGTGAGATGGAGAGGATGCTGTGGAGACAAATTTACCTTTTCATAATTTGATGCTCGCAGGTCTCTCTCACAAAGGTGTTTTTTTGCAGCTCTGATTGATATTTACTGAGCTGGTAAAAAGAGCCCCGTAACTTTTTCTCATCTACATCCTTCAAAAAATGTCTATAAAAATTTCTCAGCCGACAAAAGGGACCCACTAAAATCCCTTCAAATGAGTTATACATCGTGAAACTATCAAAGAACACCAGCTGTATGGATGTGAGTTTATTATCACTGGCTGGCACTGACATCYACAACCAACCTACATGAAGTCAAGATGGCCGCCAAAGCTAATCAGCCTTAAGGTAAACAAMTTGTTTTAACTCAGTCAGTTTTGAAGATATGGAGCTAAAAGTTGGTTTGGTAGTAACAGAGTTGTCCACAACACATACTGCAAGATATCACATGGATAGACAACTTAAATGATGGAAGGGGACATGTTTTGTCAACACTACCAGAGGKCCACATAGCACTGCACACTTAAACTAATCTAATGCAACCGCCATTTTTGAAAAGTGCTTATACATATCTATGTTTATTAAACCAACATGCAGTAACRTARCATGTTTCATGCTCAAATGCATGTCTAACATTTGTATTCTTCRATAMGTGTGAATCCAAAATGTTTGAATCAAACAAAAATGTAACACTTGCTAATAATAAGACAACTTCAGTRCAGACTCCTGAGTGGTTCTRGTAAAAAGTCACTATTTATGTAMTTGCAACTTCAGTAAACTTCTCACAGTGAGGACTGTGCAACGTGTTGCAGTGATGACTTACTACAATCCATGGCAAACAGCATCTACAAGCAGGCTAAATGCATAGGTTTGCCTTGAAATTCTGTGAATATATACTGTATGCATATACAGTATATATTCTTTAGTTAAAGCTTTCAAAGCAGCTCTTAGATTCCACCTGATTGGCGGGTCAGAAAGGGGCTGCCACGTTGCTCATCCCTGTTCTAGSAGGTCATATATCATGTCATATATGTCATATATAGTCTAATTTTCAAGATAACGAACTCATCTTAAAACTCTGACACACAAGGCATTTGTAAGCTTTCACAAAACCTGGAATAATTCTGGCGGTATAGAACTTGAACTTCCAGTACCAACACCCTCATGAAGGTCAGGTYGTAAAAGTCTGAAAACCAAATTAAAATCTGAACTATATGCTCTCAGATTGCAGGCGAGATTAATCTTTACTGCTTCATATTGCTGTACAGAGGAAAGGGACACTGTGCTAGAGTTTCACTGGAGCTTTTGACCTCAGCRCAGTGTGAGTTAACATTAATGATGTCAGTTCTGAGACTTGTAGACGCCACCCACCTAAACATGGCTAAAGACTGAATACATACATGGCAGCGACAGAAGCACCCAAGACATTAACCTCTGATCCCATGGAGCCCCATGTAGAGACCCCCCTACTTTTTAATTTAAAATTACCAGACAAGATAAAAAGTCTTGTGACTCGACTGGTCTCACTGTTGAAGTGACAAAAACCTGAACAGGGACAAAGCTAACATAAAACTGGACTGTTCAGCTATTTGGTGGAAGAGATGAGGCTATGATGGCTGTACACAGTATCAAACTACTGTTTATACAGGTAAATTGGAAACATCCCAGTGCAAGTGAACGCAGCATGGTGTTCACTACAAATCCCCTGCACTGTTGCCTCATGGTATTTTATGTACTGTAGTCATGAGGTTCATCAAATTTAATGATTTTGAGTGTTGAGACCATTTTTATGACGTTGGATTTATTTGTGCTGATTATGATGTGAAAAAACAGTCACCTTAAAAGAATTGTCAAACTTATTTTGAGTCAAAATTAATAAAAAAGGGAAAAAAAGTCAGATGTAAAATATTGTTTCAGTTTTTTTGCTTTTTCTGGAAAACTTGAGGGGGGAAAAAATCTTAGGCGATTGTTTTAGAAAGGTGTTGAAACCTGGCAAAAAACAAAAGCAAACAAAAAAAGGCTAAAAGTATAAAGGAAGCTAAAATCTAAAAGTAACAAATGGCTAGATAAAAGCTAAAAGAAAAAATGAGCTAGACATTAAATGGAGCAAAAATACACTGATTTACAGCCAAAACAGGAACAAGAAAAGGTGAAGCAATCAGAAAATATACTTGAAGAGGCATAATTTCCTCTTCAGTAGACATGAATAATTATAATGTCCTGTTCATTTAAAACTAACATTTCAAAATAAAAGAAAGCCAATTTTCATTCAGTGCAGGAAGTCTGCTGGAGTGGATATATATAACTGAAAAAATATCAGACATTTTAAAAAATATATAATTGTGTACCTTTCACACTCTAATAAGTATAAAACAAAACAAAACAAAAAAATAGAAATCAGGCCACACAGCAGGTTTCAAAGAAAATGATTTAAAACAATATAGTTTCTATTAAATGGAAAAGTGTGTTAATGAACATATATTTGCAACTGTAAGCATATTATTTCATTAAACTATTTTATTAAATCTAAATGCACTATGGCGATAATTATCTCTGCACATTGTTTTTAATTACAGTCTTACAACTGTTTTAGAAGCAGGTTTTTACATTTTGTTTTCCATAAAGACCTGACTAATACTGCCTACATTCATTACCACGAATGTGATTATAAAATATAAATCTTCAGTTTAAAGTGAATGCACGCCCTCAGTGGCAGATATTTGAACCTGTGCCAGGTGTAAATCTGCTTTATACAATGTTGAAAATGTCCTGGGTGGGAACAAGGTGTAAAGTTTAAACTTGGTTCATAAATCTTTGGTGGATTTCAGGAAGCCTCGTGGTGATGTCATCTTTGGCGTTATTCCCGTTGGAATTATAACAAAACAAAACCCTGACTTGCAAACATCACCGTGTTGTGGTCTGATTTAGCAGAGGCCACTTTGGACAGTCAGTGTTTCTCCATGTGGTCAAACAGAAACTYAATCATGCCTGTGAGAAAATTCCCATACATAACACTGCTCTGGAAGTTTAAAAGGTGGTCCTGGTATCAGGGCTCCGGGTGCTGGTTTGAAAACCCGGCCTTTGCCTCAGGTGCAGCTGTCCTGTCCAAATGTGGGGCTGAGAGCAGCTCGTTTTCCCAGCTCTGAGTCAGCATCAGTCACAGTCAGCTGATGAAAATGGATCAACAATTGATTTTTATGGACCATTTGAAAAAAAGTGAAGAAAAGAAAAAAAAAATTAGTTATTATTTATTTTTTTGCCTGACTGATTAAAACAAGCTTTTTAAAAATATTCTTTCTTGAAAACCCATGATTGGAACATTTAGAAAAAAATGGGAAACAGGATGTTCTTTGCCTATGTCTGTGTTTCTGTGTATTGTTAAGAAA